ATCTTTTCTTAATATCCTAATGATTTTGGCATAAAAGAAAAATAGATCATTTTGATCCATACAATGTTTTTTTTTTTTGGCTATTGCTAAAAATATACCCCAGCGACTTAAGACTGGTTTTGTGGTCCAGGGTCACATTTAATAACGGACAGTCTTTCTCAATGAATAAATAAAAAATATATATTTTTGTCTCATTTGTTTGATTGGGTTATCTTTGTCTACTTTCAGGACTTGTGCAAAAATCTGATGATGTTTTGGGTCATATTTATGCAGAAATATAGAACATTTTCACAAACTTTTAAGCAGCACTGTATATATAATTAATTTATAATACTCACCCACTTTTAATGGGTTAAGTAACCCATTGCGCAAAGCCGACCTCATACGTCATCCGCCCGGAGCTGCTTCCGTTTACAACAGTAAGCGCAAGCTAGATTAAAGTGATTATTAAGTTTTGAATATGGATATTTTTCTAACAAAAAAACATAGATTCTCTACAGGAGACCTTTGTTCACCCCCCGGAGCCGTGTGAGACGCTTTTTTTTTAATGGATGGGCACTTTTTATTTAACTTATTTTGGACTGATGCATGCAACACCCGCTGAGTGGCATTAAACAGCTTGAAAGATCAAAGATAATTTTTAATATAACTCTGACTGGATTCGTCTGAAAGAAGAAAGTCATGTACACCTAGGATGACTTGAGGGTGAGTAAAACAGCCCAATTCTCAATTTTCAAATTATTTTAATAACCTATAAGCATTTGTGAAATAATTATATAAAAATATATTACCAGTAAAGTACACATTAACTTATTTTTAAGTATTTGTTTCTTATTCTAATTAATTGAACTGAGCTGTAAAGTGTCAGACTTAAAATATTTCATATCCTATCAGTGAGAGAGGGTATAGTGTATATATAAAACTTTAAATTATTTTTCTTTTAAAGATAAAAAAAGATTTAATGCTCTATAAGCATTCTACAATAATTATGTAAACATATACTGACAGTACAGTACATATAATAAACTAATTGTATGCATTATTTTTCATTCTGATACACAGAGAGGGTTAAAAGATTTTTAATCCCGTGTCTCCATCAGGTGGTCATCCTTGGTATCACAGTCTTCACCTATGACCTGTAATGTGTGATAGTTTTAATTTTTTAGTGGCCCCTGAGCATGATTAAATTATGACACTTAGCATGTTTCCTAAGAATGACTTGTTCTCCATATGTAAAAAGTTTTGAATAGTTAGGATAACGAACTTTAAAGATATGAGAAAATTACTGTTATCTTTTTTACTGTTATTTAATAAATCACCACAGCAAAACCGTTCAAGCTATCCAAAATCCATGCGCAATTTAAGTTCCTCAATGTTTTGGCATCATGCAGGCAAAGTTTGGTCTGTATAGTATATTTCTCCTCTGAGGAGTATGCATTAATTTACAGGCATATTTTTCAAAAAATTCACATTCAAATCAAAATAGCTGACTTCCTGTTGGTTGTAGCTAATTACTGTTAATTAAAAAGTTGTCTGGCTTGATGAGAACAATATATGTACCACGTTTGGTGACTGTAGCTAAAACTAACCCCCAAGTTTTGTCAAAAGGTGGCGCTATAGAGTGCCTCATCCACGCCCTTTTATGAGCTTTTTTCAGTGTCTATATATCATTAATACTTATATGTGTGTTGAGTGTAATGAAATTCTAAGAATGTTATCTGCACCAAAATCACCAGAAAAGAATATTCAAGTTTGACACGTTGCCATGGCAACAATATTTCAGATGTCAATATCCCCTCACCAGTTTTACATCGGCTGTGTTTTGACATTATTCTTAATAAGTTTGAAGCAAATCGGGTAAAAATAAGATGCTGAATTAAAAGCATTTTGAAAATGACACACTTCCTGACGCCAGTTGGTGGCGCTATATCTTTGACTCCTAATAGTCACATCTATGCGATCGGCATCATACAACAAACAAATCCCTGAAGTTTGATCAAAATCAGACAATGTATGTGGATGCTATTAGACACTTCCTGTTTCTCATTTCTCGCCTTAACTTCACCGCCTCGCCACGGGCAAACCGTTCGAGATATCAAAAGTCCCATGGCAATTTAGCATCCCCAATGTCTTGAGATCAAGTTCACCGAGTTTGGTGGTAATCTATTTGAAATCCTCAGAGGAGTATATCGAATTCCAGAGCATGCGTTTTTTACACAGCCCTGAATAGCCAACTTCCTGTTGAGTGGAGCCTATAACATACAGCGTGAAAGTTGTTCGGATCAATGAGATCTATATGTGTAGCAAGTTTCATATGAATATGTGCAAGCATGTGTGAGCTATAAATCAAGTTTTCAGACTGTGTTCAGGGGGCGCCGTAGAGCCCCTGTGCCACGCCCGGGTCCCAGCCTCTGCGGCATCCTAATGACCGCAGATTCCAATGTGTGTGCCAATTTTCAAGAGTTTTTGAGCACGTTAAGGCCCCCAGAAAGCCACGGATAGTCGAAAAAAAAAATATATAAAAAATAATAATCCTTAGAAAAACAATAGGGCCCTGCGCCTTTCTGGCTTGGGCCCTAATAAATAAATACTACATTCTCATTTTCTGCAGAGTTTTAACCAAAGCATCAATCTATTTTGCTGCTCACCTTGTTTCTGCCCTAATGCTGTTAAAATAACGGCATCATCTGCAGTTCTTCAGTCTCAAGAAGGGCTTGGCTGCAGACGTGCATTCTCAGACTTGGACTGCATCTCATTCAGCTCCCTATAGCTCCCTAGCTCCCGAGCCCGTGAATCAGCACACGAATCCTGGCACTGGTAGGGACCCTGGCTCACTGCACATTGGGACAATAATAGCTCGTTTGAGTTGAGCTAAGTCTGCGCAGAACCACTGGACAGATAGACCACTGGTGATCACCACAAGATCCATGCCGTTTAGAAATGTGTCGGAGAGCAGTCCGCATTGCTCTGATATCACGCTGACGTATGCCAGACATCTCGGGTGACAGCGAGTCAGCTCTGCAGTTGCTGTTCCCAGCTGCGCTGACCAAAAGCACGATGGGAAACGATTTACTGACGATACGGCTTAATGCTCATTGGTTCAAACAACCGTGATGTTGCGTTCTCTTCTAAAATGTTTAATTTGTTTAGCTGATATAATTAGAATCTGATATAAACATGTGATTGTTTTTAAATGATGCACGATATTCCCAAACATTATGACAAGTGCGATCTCTGTGAGATGTGACTGTTGTCGCTAAAAAGACATACAAAAATAAAAATGGACTATGTCTTTCTAATGGGATTCAATAGCAAGTAACGTTAGGCTCAGGCCAGGGGCGTATTTTTCTCAAAAAAATTTCTCAAGAGCAATTTTTGAACGGGACACAAATAATACAGCTAAAATTGTGCTTGTAAGGATATGTATACACAGAGGAATGGGTTAACTTACTACTATTAGTGCAGCAGGGAGACCGTGCCAAATTACTATCTGTCACACTGTTGCCAAGTCCGCGGTTTTCCTGTGGAATTGGGCTACTTATCACTGTTGCCGCGGGTTGAAGCGAACCCAATAACGTGTATTTTAGCCCCCAGAACACGATTTTTACCGGGGTACCCCCTCGAAACGTCGATAGCTTGGGCTAGTTTTGAGTAGCAATTGTGCGGGTTTAGTTATGAAAACCCCTTTCGGTCAAGCAGGTAAAGTTATTATTGCCAACTAGCGGACTGCGGACTCATCGAAAAATACATTTGCATCATCTGTATTAAAGAGAAAATAATCACTTCATCCGATGTTTAAGTGAATAAAATAGCCTTGACAGTCTTACTGTAGTTCCACAACTATGTTTTGTTCTCTCACTGGACTTGTGTGTGTGTAGGTGATGTAAAAGAGGAAAGCAGTTGTTTAGTAATAAAACATTAGTTTGAATTAATGTCCCCCGAGGAAATTGATGATGTAAACTGTCGTAGTGACATGGTTGAAGTAAAAGTTATGTCCTTGTTTACAACCTTGTCTTAGCCCCTAAATATAAGTCTTTGCTACTGACTCACTCATGAAAACAGTCACGTGTAGCCATCTAATGGCATAACAATGTAACCAAAATCACCATCACTAAGACAGAGACTGTTTCTCAATACCAATACTCTTACTAAATACTACTATTATTTATATACAATATAATTTATTAAACAATAATTTTAATAAACAACAATAGCTATCATAAAAGTTAATCAGCACAAACAGCTCAGACCAAAAGACAAGCATTCTGGTGAGGGGTGATGATTTTGGGCTTGTTTTGTAGCCACAGGACCTGGACACCTCACAGTCACTGAGTCGACCATGAACTCCTCTGTATATCAAAGTATTCTACAGTCAAATGTGAGGCCATCTGTCCGACAGCCAAACCTTGGCCAAAATTGGGTCATGCCAAACATGACCTACATCTACAATCTACAATAGAATGGCTGAAAAAGAAAAGAATCAAGATGTTGCAATTGCCCAGTCAAAGTCCAGACCTCATCCTGATTGAAATGCTGTGGCGAGAGCTGTGCATAAACAAATACCCACAAACCTCAATAAACTGGAGTAACGTTGTAAAGAAGAGCGGGCCAAAATTACTCCAGAATGATGTGAGAGACTGATAAAGTCATACAGAAAATCATTACTTCATGTTATTGCTGCTAAAAGTGGATATACAAACAACTGAATCATAGGGTGTCCTTAGTTTGTCACCCATGGCTTTTCCATATTGGCTTTATTTTTGCTAAATAAATAATGTGATACATGATGTGTCACTGGGTTACTTCATCTAAGGTTTTTCCCCCCAAATTTTAAGACCTGCCAAGGACCAGATGATTTTTTTGGATTATGTCCCGATATGGAAAACCATGGAATTAAATAGGGTCTCCTTTCTTTTTCACACAACTGTATATATACACATTCATATATACATAAATGGAATGTCCCAAACTTTACATCACTCCACTCTCAATGTGTTCAGAATTGGCCTTCAGAAGGAGTTGATGATTTTCGAGATGTCCACGTATCATTTTACCTGCGCTGTAAGGAACTTTCTCTCAGAGTGCTCCGAGTGATGGCTCTTGGTTTGAACCTGGAAGCAGAGGTCTTTCTCAGCGCACATAAGCATATTGGAAGTAAGTAAAATTATATGCACTTCTTCTTGCTCCCAGTGAGTCAATGGCTGGGAGATCTGCAAGACCTTAATGATGTGAGTGGTTTTAAGGTGATGTGAATGGAACGACTCTACGGACTCTGTACTACCCTCCGGTGAACAGCACATGTGTGAAGGAAAATCAGCTGCGCTGTGGTGAACACTCTGATTATGGTAGTATCACTTTGCTCTTCCAAAGCTCAGAGGGTGGACTGCAGGTGAGGACCAACATAGGACAAGAGGAGAAAAGATTAATGAGCTCCTTTATCATTTAGGATAGTAATTCTGGATCTGGATGCATTCCTCTCCTTCAGGTTCTGAACCGGGCTGGAGAGTTCATTTCAGCCCCCAGCATTCCTGGAACAGTTCTGATTAACATAGCAGACCTGATGCAAAGGTGGACCAGTGATGTCTATGTGTCTGCCGTAAGTTTCTTTACTAATGCTTCATGTAATTGTGCAGTGCAGGCAATGCTCATTTAATTCTTTTCTATTGTTCTGACCCTCAGGTTCATAGGGTTTTGCTGCCCCCTGCAGGTGACTCCAGCACACGTCAGTCTTTGGCCTTCTTTGTACAACCTGATGATGAGGCCATCATTTCATGCTGCGATGGATCAGATAAATATCCTCCTGTTAAGTCAGTTGATTACCTTCTGTCAAGGTTCAAAGATTCTTACGGCAAAAATTAGATCCTGGTTTAAGTGAAATTTTATGATCTTGTATGTTTAAAAAAAATCAGTAATAATCATCAGAGCACATAATTGGTGAAGCTGACATAATTTAATACATTAGAGAAACGTAAAACACAGTCAATTACTCCTAAAATCACAAAGGATACTCAAACAAGGCAAAAAAAACAACAACAACCAAACAATCCATACTTATTTTATGCTTAACTTGATTTATATATATTTTATAAATTTATACACAGTTTACAGTAGAACACTGGTTGAAAACCATGAAACTATAATGAATTAAAATGAAACGGCTTGAAATAATTCACTGGTGTTGCAGCAGAAATTCATTTTCAGACCCTTGAGAATCAATCTAGGATTTAATTCAATCTATATTTTAAACTAAACTAAAGTGGCAATGAGAATGCTTAATTAAATTTTCATGTTATCTTCCATGTATGTTTTCAATAAAAATGTTTAAAAAAAAAAAAAAAGAAGAATGCTGAATTATGGGGCATGAACTATTTGTTACCCAGGTATAATATCAAATGCCTAAATGTGAATAGAGATCTATCCTATGAGGTTTGGCCATGTTTGTGCAAAGACTGCAAATCAGACATGAAAGAACAAAAAGATACAAGAACAATAAATGCACAGTTAATTTCTCTAAACACAAGTTTCAAGTACAGTCCCTTTCCTCACTATCTGCACTTTTGATAAGAGATGTGTGATTGTCCACAGAGAATTCTGTTAACTAATTACATACTTCAGCAGCCTGTTTTAGGATATCATAACTCAATATTTTATGTTTGAGAATGCCACCACAGTGATTTGTTTAATTATTTCAAGGAAAGCCAAGGTCTTTGCTAAGAGACAGTAAATGGTCCTTTTGTATGTGAGGATGGAAATATTTGACACTACATACAACAGCTAAGAATGTGTGGGGAGGTCTTGCTGGTGACCTTGTGACATAGGCTGACTGTCCCCAGGTAGTATTTCCACAGCAGAAGGTACTGCATTCGTAAAAAACAAGAAAATATGATGATAGAAAATCAATATTTTTTTTCCTATGACGGGACAAAATGGCTTTGACCAGAAAAATGTAAAACAATTACACTGACCTTTGGCCTGCACTGGAGGCTCTGTTTTCTGTGTTTTCAACCGCTCCATGTGCTCTACTGCCTAAAAGAGAAGATCAGTAAGTATGTTAGAAAGTGTTGAGGTGAGAGAAAACTAGCTTCAGACATTTCCATTATGTTTTAAAAAGGCAATATTTTAGTGACAACAATATCAGCATAAGACAAAAGCAGTTGACCAAAACTCAATCATATACAGCACACTCGTTTAAAAGTGTGGGGTTGGTAATATTACATTTACATTTAGTCATTTAGCAGACACTTTTATCCAAAGTGACTTACAAATGAGAACAATAGAAGCAATCAAAACAACAAAAGAGCAATAATATGCAAGTGCTATCACAAGTCTCGGTTAGGTTTATATATATATATATATATATATATATATATATATATAT